ATAGCTGCACATCCTTCTAGTTGCTGCATGTGGGACGCGGCCTCAGCATGGCCGGAGAAGCGGCGCGTCGGTGCGAGCCCGGGATCCGAACCCGGGCCGCCAGCAGTGGAGCACGCTCACTTAACCACCAAGCCACGGGGCCGGCCCATCTCTTTTTCTTAATATTTATTTTTTTCTGATTATGAAAGCAATACTTATTTGCAGTAGAAAAGTGTGAAAATGTAGGAAAAGAAACCCACCATAGTAGGGGAGTCAGATGTATGAACAAATAATAAGTAACAGATGGGGGAATAAGCCAATAATGAAAGTAGGTACAAGATGCAGAGGCAGTTTGGAGAAAACGATGAGCTCAGTGGGGGTGGAAGAGGGCATGCATGATGCCCTGGAAAGGCTCCATAGAAAAGGTGAAGCTTATGATGAGGTTTTCAAAGATGAATAGGAGTTTGTTAGGTGGACAAGGAAGAGAGGGCATTCAGGAAGAAGGAACAGCATGTGCAAAGGCATAGAGGCATTAAACAGCATTTGTGCTCCTGTAACTGTAGTTCTGCATCCCTTCAGTGTAAAGTATGTGGGAGGGAGGAGTTGGGGTGAGACGGGTGCTGGGGGGTAGGAGGGGGAAGTAGGCAGGGCTAGGAAGTGAAAAGCTCTACATCCTGATAAAGAATTTGGACTTTGACCTAGCGGATGAAAAGGAGCCACTGAAAGGTTTTGAGGTGGTGTCACCCAATTAGAATTTGAGAGAGACAACACGTGCATAGGTATGAAGAATGGATTAGAGGAGAAAGACTTTGGAAGCAAACAGACCTGCTGTAAGGCTGGTGCCAAAGTCCACAAATGAGTTAAGGATGGCCTAGGCCAGTGCAGGGGTCACAGGAATGGGCAAAAAAGGATGGGCTAGAGATACTGATGGACAAGCTGTAGGGGTAAGGAGACGGAGAGAAATGAGGCATCCAGACAATTCCCAGGTTTCTGGCTTGGCTGACTAGGAAGTTGATGATACCAGCAACCAAAGTAGGGAATATATGTAAGTAAGGAAAAATACACTTGTGGAGGAAGATAATATGAATCCTTTGTCATTCTGGGAGGAACAACTCTGGTGACCATATTTACCTTCGTATGTTGAAAATAGTCCATGTAATTTTTTATTCATTTCAAAATCTTTAGTTCTTCATTACTGACATATTTAAAATAATGCACTTGACTGGGCTTTCCTTTATTTTTTGAAGTAGAAAAAATTTAAACTCCATAAACAATTTATGAAAAAAAGAAGAAAATATCTTTGGTGAGTTTTTAAAAACAATCTTTTAATGAAAAAGAAACAATTTAAGATATTCTTCTCCACCACCACTCCATGGTTCACACTTCTGTTAGCTGAAGTGTTCAGGCTCTTCCCTTACTTGGGAATTTCTCACATAATATCCTTTCTCAGAATTATTTGAGCTGGATCTCAAAGAACAGGCATGACTTGGGATGGGCAGGGGGCATTAGGAATGAAACTGCTTTTGCTATGACCGATAATATCCTGGGAAATCTTGCCCATCCCTCTCATTGCACAGATGAGAAGGCAAAACCAGAAGCTTACAAGGAGGCAGAATTCAGCTCAACTTAATTTCCAGCAATCAGAATGCTCAACAGTGGAATGGTCTGCTTTTGCCCGGTGCTACAATGTGCCTCTCATCCCCGAAGATATTACGATAGAGAATGGACAGCCATCTGTCAGGGATACTATTGAAAGTCTGCACTGAGAGGTTGAAGATGGTTCCTAAGGCCCTCTTGGACTCTAATTTTCCTTGACTGGATGTGAGGAGCTGGGGCAGGTCATGGGAACACTGTGAGTGAACAAACTCATGGGCGTGAACGTAGGGCGTGTATGAAGCCTTGTTATCATTTTGCTATTTGAAGTGACAGATTCTTTGCTTGACCAAACTTGACTCAGGCTCCTGAACTTTCTCCTAGGCCCAGCAGTGCACTTCCTTGTAAAATCTAGTTTTAGCAAGAATGCTGCTAAGCCAGTTTAGCAAGAGCTCCCCCATCCTCCATATCTGATCTCCCCTCGGTCTCAAATCCGGTTCTTCTCTCTCCACCATCACCCAAGGGTGATGTCTGATCACCCTGACCTGTCTTCAGCAAGAATCCTGTTAGGTCAGTTTAGCCAAAACCCCTCTTACTCTTGATGTTTCCTCTTAGAAATTTTCCATCCACTCACTCCCACCTAGCTGCTTGGCTATAACTTCCCACTTGACCATGCTGTATTCAGAATTGAGCCAGTTCTATACTGAGGTCTCTTTTCCCCTATTGCAATAGTTCTGAATAAAACCTGGTTTTCAGATGTGTAAAGAAGACCAGTAAGAGATAAGCCTACGCAGGTATAGAGAGACCAACTCAAGGAAAGCCTTGACTATACAGCTAATGAGTTTAAATTTTATTCTATAAGGAAGAAGCCACTAAAACTTTCTGATAAAGGAGTAACAAGATGGGTGTAGTGCTTTGGAGAGATTACCTTGAGAGAAAATATATTAATCCATTAGGAGAAGATTTATATAATCCAGGGGAGAAGTAATAAGGACCTGAACTCTAGCATTAGTAGCAATGGAAATGAAGAGGAGGAACTATGGAGGAGATTGTAGTCATAACTGACAGGACACGACAATCGCCTGGATGAGATTTACTCCTCATACATGTCTCCCCACCTCACATCCAAGCCATCTAGGCCATGTTGTCCAGCCTTCCACCAAGTAGAGCCACCCAAAGGAAGTCTTCCATTCTCTGATCTCATTGTCATCTCTCTGGGCAAGTTCAATTCTGTTTCCTCATCTGTAAGATGGGGTTAATACTAACACCTGCCTCACAAACAGGCTGTTGTACACACGTTGTTGTGATTAAATGATTTAATATATAAAAACCACTTCGAAAAGGGCCAGGCAGAGCACATGCTACATGACAGCTACTATTAGTACCATCACTTGGAAATCCCACCTCCTCCATGACCTCAACTCTGAAACCTTTCCCTTTGACAACGATCTCTTATCTTTTCACTCCATGCTTATTGAATCCGCCCAGGACGTGACGCTGGTTAGATGCAGGACAAGAATAATCAAATAAAACTCAGAAGTTTTAACCCTGCAAGGTTTCAGAAATTTTGAGAGGGGCAGTTAACGAGAAAGACGTATCTGGCTTGAAACATGTAATTTGAAACTTCCAGCAGTCCAAGCGTAAATGCCCTGCATTCTGCTAGAGACCCAAGACTGGAGCCTGGGAGAGCTCAGTACCACACACACAGATTTAAAACTCATTTGCATAGTGGCCAGCCCGGTGGCGTAGCGGTTAAATGCACAGGCTCCGCTTTGCCGGCCAGGGTTCGGATCCCGGGCGCGCACCAACGTACCGCTTGTCATGCCATGCTGTGGCGGCATCCCATATAAAGTATAGGAAGATGGACAAGGATGCTAGCCCAGGGCCAGTCTTCCTCAGCAAAAAGAGGAGGATTGGTGACAGATGTCAGCTCAGGGCTAATCCTCCTCAAAAAAAAGCGAAAAAGAAAAAAAAACTTATTTGCATAGAGGTAATAGTTGAAGCCATGGGAGTAAATGGGTTCCCAGGATAATGGCACAGAGACAAACTCATACTATGACTGAACATCAAGGAATGCTCAGTTTGGGACTGAGAAAAGAGGAATCATTATGGGAAATAGGAATAATCAGGAGAATCAAGTAAATAAAATATTATAGTAGTTCAAAGATATTTAACATTTTTCATGCAATCGCCCTGATCAGTTTCAGGTCCCCCTGAGACGCTCTGAAGGAAGTCAGGAAGCCTTTTTGGGGCGGGGGAGGGGGTTCAGCATCTGGGCAGAGAAGGGGCTGATCCTTCATGTATAGTGACTATTCATCACCTAGCAGTTTTACCTGTTCAAGGGTCTTTTCCGGAGCTCCACAACAGAAACCTCCACATCAGTGGCCATGCTCAGGCCCACCCCAAAATGTCCTGTCCAGAAGCTCCACTCCTTACCACAGATCATCTGTCCTGTAAGACCCAGCGCAAGTTTATCTCCTCCTGGAACTTTTCTCTAACTATTCCATTACTATTTCCTCCTTCTCAGCGTAAATTTTTAGGCTCTACCCTCAGAAATTATTTTATAGGTCTGATTTGGGGGACAGAAACCTGCATTACTAACAAGCAGCCTAGTGATTCTAATATGGATAGTTTGTGGTCTACACTTTGAGAAAAAAAGTTTACTTGCAAGTATGTGGTGAATCATGTCAAAGAAGAGCCAAAATGCTGAGTTTCATTATAGCTTTAAGAAATTAAAAACATATTAGATGGTCAATCACAATATATGATCCAAAATTTTTCAGAGGCCAGAGTTCCAGACATTTCCTCATCTTCTCCATGACTGTAACATCCTCCCACCAAACCAAGAAATCTAAATACGCCCACTGCTACCCAGCTTTTGTCAGGGACCCTACCAGTAACACCTTTCTAGTTTGAGTTGCTGGTCCTAAGTATCGTACCACAGAATGATACGCAGCACGTAAAATCCTACATGTGTGTATGAAGGTGGGAGCAACTGTCTAAACGATTTAGTCTGTGGCAGTATCTAGAGAAATACACTGGAGTCTTGAGGGAAAGAGGTCATGTGTTTGTGACTAAGAGAAAAGGTCTGTCTGTAAAAAAATGCTTTAACTGAAATAAATCTGGCCCCTGCACAGAAACACACTCCATCTCTCCTTCTGAAAAACTATTCTGTTTAATAGTGCACTTCATTTACGCTACAGGATGAGCAGGATTGGGAAAACATAAGGAGAGGTCACCCCTTCCACTGGGAAAACTCAGGAGCTCCATCTTCACCCAGCAACGAGCCCTGCCGCCAGGCTCAGGCCAGAGCCTTCCTTCTCTGGGCTTTGCTCTATGTTCACATTCATACTCTGCTGCTGACGTCAGAGGCGCGGTCAGGGGAGGGCTGGCTGTGGGGCCAGATGTCACAGGTCACAGGTAACATGGGACAGGGCAAGCTGGTTGAACGAGCTCCTTAAAAGCATCCTCAGTAACTAGAGGCTCAGATTAAATCACTTTTCATCACAGGAGTGGTGAGAGAGAGAAGGGAGGAAAGGAAACAGAGGCCAAGGCTAAATGCTTTTGATCCTCTCCCTCATGTCAGACTCACTGATTAGATGGATTTCCCAGTTAGTTCTGTCACAACAGGGAAGGACAATGGGTTTCCCAACAAAATTGCCAGACTGCTGTTGGAAACCTGGTCTTGCTGCTCCAAGAGCCCTAAACGATAGTCACCACAGAAAGCCTCTCTTGGGCTCTTCCCCCCTCTTCAATAAAATAACAAATCCCCCAGCACCAAATTTCCATAATTAATGAAATCATGAAACAAAATAGCACATTACTTATCAAAACTTAAAGCTGGATTAGGAATAGTGGCTTTGAAATACAGCCTCCATTTCCCCTTCCTAGCAAATAACAGGACCCAGAACATTCTTTCTACTGCCTCCTGTGCTAACGATACTGACTCCACCTAGAGGAATCCTTAGAATCTTATTCCTACTGTGCTTCCATCCCCACCTCGGAAAGAAAGGCTCCCCTGGTGTGAGAAATATGGTCTAGTGCAAATTCCCTTCCAAATGGAAGGTGACTGGTCCCAGAGCTTCCCTCTACTCCCAGCACTTCATCTGCTGCTTGCCTCCTAATTTTTCAAGGCTGCTATCATTCCTGGGGAAACTGACTAGGTTGCTAATCACGGTACCAGGATGATTGGCCCAATTTGCCCCATTATCTAAAGTAAAAGGTCTGAGTTGGAAGGGACACATTCTAAGTTGTTCATACTTGTAAGGCAGGAGCTCTTCAGACTCAGCAGAAGTGAGGAAAACAGGTGTGTGGCTCTCTTTCATGTAGACTCTCTGATATTTAAGTCAGCAGTAACTCGGAGAGAACTTTTGCTCATTCCCATTCCATTCAAAGGCTTCTCTCCAGTGTGAATTCTCTGATGGCGAACAAGAGCTGAGCTATACCTAAAGGCTTTCCCACACTCACTACATTCATAGGGATTCTCCCCTGTGTGGATTCTTTGATGCTGAATAAGGCCTGAACTATAGGTAAACTTCCCTCCACATTCCATACATTCATAGGGCTTCTCTCCAGTGTGGATTCTCTGGTGCTGATAGAGGTGTGAGCTCTGGCTGAAGGCCTTCCCACACTCGTTACATTCATAGGGCTTCTCTCCAGTGTGGATTCTCTGATGATGAATGAGGGTGGAGCTCCTACTGAAGGCCTTCCCACATTCATTACAAGCATATGGTTTCTCTCCAGTGTGGATTCTCTGATGATGAGTAAGGGTGGAGCTCCAGCTAAAGGTTTTTCCACACTCGTTACATTCATAAGGTTTCTCCCCAGTGTGGATCCTCCGATGCAGAATGAGGGCAGAGCTACAACTGAAGGTCTTCCCACAATCGTTACATTCATAAGGTTTCTCTCCAGTGTGAATTCTCTGATGCTGAATAAGATGTGAGCTCTGGCTGAAGGCCTTCCCACATTCACTACATTCATAGGGTTTTTCCCCAGTGTGGATTCTCTGATGTTGAATAAGGTCTGAAGTTCGATTAAAGCTCTTGCTACATTCATCACACTTATGGGGTCTATCTCCCACAGGAAGTCTCTGATGTGAAATGAGGTTGGAACTCACAGTGAAGCTGTTCCCCAAATCATTATATTTCTCACTTCTCTCTCCCATGGGGCTTAGCTTTTCCTCAACTGTCACTTGATCAAAATCTTGTATCTTCCTATTCAATCTTTCTCCAGAGGAGCTCCCCAGCTGCCCCTTTAGAGTGACTTCTTGTTCATAGGCTTCTTCAAACTTAAGACCCTGAGAAATATCCTTTTGGAGTCTTCCCAATAGCACCCCATGTGATCCCGTATCTTGAGAAATTTCTTGATTGTGCTCAGTTCTGGTCTCACCATCTGGCACAATACAAAATACAAACGTCACTTGGTCCTTGTGGAAGAATCAAAATCAGAGGACAGGATAATCACGTGAGTAATGTTTACAGGGCTAAAAGCACATGCCTCCTCTCTGCGTGCAGAAAGGCCCGCCCGGGCTGTGTGCAGCTGAGGCAGAATAAGAGAACTGGGTGGAGGAAACAGGGAAGGAGTGAGGCAGAAAGCAAAAAGAGCTGGAAGTACAGAGAAAGCTGGATATGCAAGGAGAGGAAGACAGATCAGGCAAAGGCAGGGAACAAAAACTAGAAGAGAAAGACATGCTGTTTAATGAGGTGACAAAGTCCTCAGAGAGATCAGAGAGTATAGATATAACTGGGGACGTGGTGACTACCATAACAGTTGAAGAATGATAGGGGAGAGCAAATACAGAAAACCAAACAGAGACAGGTATTGAGAAAAGTGGGGAAGGTGATGAGAAACAGTAGCACAGCAGGAAGAAGCAACAATAGTAAGGCCACTAGTGACCCCTAAGCCCCAGGTGAAAAGAACAATCATGTCTACAGTTGAGCCACACATGCCAAATCCATGGAAATGCGCAAAAGACGGAGTTCAGTCTATCTCTGGGCCCTAGGCCTAGAAGGCTATGCTAAAATGTGAGGATATGTCTGACTTCTCTATTGTCACTGCTTTGGGGTTTCTAAAGGGAATTTCAGGCATAGAGGATAAGGGTAAAGGGTCTAGAAAGTTAGTTTTTAGTTTGTCAATGTTTTAAAAAGTAAAAACAAGGCAATGCGTGTTAAGGACAGAAAAGCTGTTTCTCCCTCACCTGAACAGGACCTCTCTGCTCTCAGTTCCCTTCAAACCCAGAACCCTCGGCTCTTCCTCTCACTCTAGCCCAGAGATCATGTCAAAATTCAGAAATGGGAACCCTGCTCACAGGGAAAGACATGGGACAAGGTTTATCCTGCTCATACTGAGCAGTCCCAGAGCTCAAACCCAGACCCCAAATCTGCAGGGGACAGAAAGGAAATGTACAGGGAGGTCTCATGGGAATTAGGAAGACCCCCTGGCAGTGCTCAGAAAAATGTTCTCCCTGAGAGTCAGTGAGAGACGAGGAATTCACAGTCCACAGACTAAAGGTTAAGAAGCTAACTGCTCCCTAAAACCAGCTGCAATTTCTACAAGAGCAGCAGTGGCCCTAGGTCCTGAACAATGCGACAGGTCCCTAGAGGTAATCCAACAGAGATGGGGAGGAGACAGAGTTCCAGAATGTTGACACATTCAGGGATCCCAATGTGCTAATCTTTTGGAAGTCTCTGAATTATATGTTAAGTCCTAAGAATAATATGCAAAAAAGTACCAGACTTGGAGTCAAAAGACCAGGGCTTGAGTTCTGCCACTCACCGGCTATATCACCGTGTGTAAAGCATTTAACACCTCTGACCTCTGTTTCCTCACTTATAAAAGGAGGATAATTCTAGCTACCTCAATTGCTGCGTTACTGTGAAGATTAAATGAGAATCTATATGTGGACACTCTTTATAAACTGCAGGTTATTGTACAAATGGGAGTTACTATTGTTAGAATTTTCTGAGACTCAGTCAATCCTTAGCTAATTATTTTCAGTAACTCAACTGTTACTAGCAAACAAAGAAGTAAAGAAATGCCAAGGGAGTTTTACTGAGAAAGCATAACTCCTTACCCAGTGAGAACACATTCCCGTAATTCTCCAGCATCACATCCCTATAGAGGTCCCTCTGAGCAGGCTCCAAACGCTTCCACTCCTTCCGGATGAAGTACACAGCGACATCCTCAAATGTCACCAACTCCTGAAACGAGACGTGTTCGCATGCAATTTCACGGCAAGGGACGCGACTGGCAGTGCCAGAAAAATAACTCCGGATGCGATGGAACAATGCACATTTGAGAAGAGGGGAGAGGAGGAGGTTAGGATAGAGGAAGAGATGGAGGTCCTGATGGAGGGAATCATGGTTTAGGGCACTGAATGCAATGTCACTGCACAAAGAATTTCCACAAAATGGGAAGGAAAAGAAGAAGGATAAAGGGAACTACAGCTCACCTGGGACTTTGCCTTTAGAAGTGCAGCTGCCAGCATCTCATCCCCCAGGCTGTCCTTGTCGGAAAATGCAGGAATTTTTGAGGAGGGAAGAGCTGAAGAACAATAAAAGGGTCCATGAGGGAGTCTATCTCTGGCCTCCTGAGCTACAGGAAACTCATGGGGTCCTGGAACAACCTCAGACCCACTCCCTCTTACATTTCTAAGTTCCTTTCCTCTGCAGCCACGAAAAGTGCTTACAACAGGCACATCTAGTGTGGGTCCATCCTGTCGGAGAGATGTCCAAAGCCCTGTTAATTCTTGCTTCCAATCTGCTCCAGGTCCTTTCCTTTCTCTCCAGTCACTCTACTCTCAATGAAGCTAGGGCCACTGTTAGTGATTAGTGTCTTCTTGTCCATTCTCCGAAGCTTGACCAGAAACACAGACTATCCTGTTCATGTCCCTTCAATCATTCTCTCAACTCAAACTCACAACTGCGTGAAGTTCTCTTAGACCAGAGGAAGACTAGGAGCTTCACCTCAATCCTGACTGAAGACATAATGCCCATGGCGCTTCTCCTTTTCCTCCATCCCTAGATCAAATCTACACTACAAATGTTTTCTGTTTCTGTGCTTGATCACGTTATCTTTTCCTGTAATTCTTATGTTAACATATTTGTCCCTTAGAGACTCTAAACCCCTAGAGATACTAGATTGTATAGAATCACCCAGACAAAAGAGTCTTTAAATGCTTTTCCTGAGAAGCATGGGAATACCCATTAGGATTGAAACCGGCTCCAAAGTCAGCGGCAATCTATGAAAGCAAAATACAAATAACATTCATGGCTTCCTATACATTTTATCCTTTTGCCTGTGACCTACAAAGCGATTCCCAAGAGCTTCCCTAAGTGCATGTTCCTGAAGAGCACAAAGCAGGACTATGAAGTCAGCTGTTACAAAGTGCCTGGAAAATGGAATTCAGTGATTGTCACAATTTTCTTAATCCTGCACAAGGAACCCACAGCCCTTAACAAGGCCTCAGCTCTGAAACCTATCAAGCTGTACATTATATTGTCTTCAGTCAGCCTTCCTCACTAGGCTGTGAGCTACTGAATGGCAAGCACTGTGCCTTATCCACGCCTGGACTCTAGGGATTAGCCCAGTACCCAGTGAATAAGAGATTTCAACAGATGATTGCTGAATGACTGAAGAAAAGAATGAATGAATCCCTATTCCTTACCACTCTCAAGCAGGGCCTGAGGTTCCTGAGATACACGATCAGTCTGAGTTTCCATGGGTAGGGCTGGAAGCTCTGGTCTCCTATTTGCAGACTCGGCAGGAAGCAGGTGAATGAGAATGAGGAAGTGCTGCAGAAGCAAAAATTCAGGGTTCAAAGACAATAAAAAAAAAAACACCTCCTGAATACAGAAAGAAGGGAACTAGCAGTTCAGTTAGCACCCAAGAAGAGCAAGAGGAAATGCAGCAACTGGAACTAGTCTTTTAGATCCTGGTGAATATAGACACCTACTCCCTGTAATGAGACTACACGAGGACCACAGAGAGGGCCCAAGGTCCTCAACAACATCCCACCTTTAGGTCCCTCAACACACTGAGTGATATTTGTTAACAACAAAAAAAAGGGAACGCTGGTGCCAAATAATATTAACAGAATGAAATACTAAGCAACTATTGAAGTCACAAATATCAGAGTAAAGTGAAAAAGTGTGTACACAAAGATTGCAAAATGTGTATGTATCATACCAACTTTAAAGAATATTTGGGATACTGGATAAAACTAACTGTTTAGAGATTAAAAAAAAGACCTCATAAACATTAGAATTAGTAGAAGGAAAATAAACTTCCTTTAGTAGGTTTCTAGCTGTTATATTAAATCTGGGTGCTAACCTTAGAGGAAAGGGGCAATGAAATAGCCCCCAATAACAGAGACCAGAGGAAGTTTCCACGAGATCTCTGCCTCTCATTTTAAAAACTTGTGGAGGGCCGGCCCCGTGGCTTAGCGGTTAAGTGCACGCACTCGGCTGCTGGCGGCCCGGGGTTCGGATCCCGGGCGCGCACCAATGCACCGCTTCTCCACCCATGCTGAGGCCGCGTCCCTCATACAGCAACTAGAAGGATGTGCAGCTATGACATACAACTATCTACTGGGGCTTTGGGGGAAAAAAAATAAATAAATAAAATTATTAAAAAAAAAAAACTTAGGGAAACAACACCTGTCTTACAGAACTAGGGCAAATAGTTCAGATCTATTTAATGAAATCAGATAAATTCTTTCTTCTCTCTCTTCTAAGACAGTTTTCTGCTCACAGTCCCAGTCAAAGGTGGGATATGACTGAGGAAGTGGGGCCTTTCTGTGGTCCTGGAGAGTCTCATTATAGGCAGCAAGTGCAGATATTCATGAGGATCTAAAAGGCTGGGAGTTGGGGCCGGCCAGGTAATGCAGCGGTTAGGTGCGTGCGCTCCCCTTTGGCGGCCCAGCGTTTGCAGGTTCAGTTCGAGGGCGCGCACCGACGCACCACTTGTCAAGCCACACTGTGGCGGCGTCCCGTGGAAAATAGAGGAAGATGAGCACGGATGTTAGCCCAGGCCAGTCTTCCTCAGCAAAAAGAGGAGGACTGGCATCAGACGTTAGCTCAGGGCTAGTCTTCCTCAAAAAAAAAAAAATAATAATAATAATTAAAAGGCTGGGAGCTGTGTTTCCTCTCACTGGTAAGGTAGCAGCAGCCTTCTTTTTATCTCCCTTCTCTCATAATACATTTCCTTGGGTCAGAATGTTATGTCCCTAAAGCAGGGACCAATACGTTTTTAAAAACACACGGTTACTTATTACTTCGTTTTTATCCCTACTAATGTCCCTACTCCCCATTTGCTACGACGATCAAAAGAGGTCTGTTCTCTGTGGCTCTAGTGAATAAAATACAACATTAGGAGCTAGACTAAGGTTTGGGTCTCAAGTAGAAGTTTCTACTTCACACTTGAATGCTGTAGCAAGAATCAACAGACCTAGATTAGGTGCAGCAGCCACCAGAGCATCTTTACACTTAGACAAGAGCAAAGAAAAAAAACCTTGGACTTTGTCTACCTCTCTCTATTTATTTGCTCATATAACAAACATTTGTTGAGTACCAACTATATTGCAAAGCACTATTGAAAGGAATAAAAAGACAGGAACACAAAAAGTATTTGCTTCATCATTAGAGACTGTTGCATTCACATAAAGCATAAAAAATGGAGGGGCCCTGTCTGAGAGCCACTGAGAGTTCAGAGAAGTCCAATCTTTGGGCAACAAGGGGGTACAGAATGCCCACCACTAATGCCATTACACAGTGAAAACCACTGAATCAGGTGTGAGCCAGGCCCACCGGCAACCAAGGTGCCACAACTTCTTGTCACCATCACCCTCCCTGCTGGGTCCCTTCAACAATCTCAGAGCCAGTCATCTTTTTGTTCCTATCAAGCAACTTTACAATTTCCAGGACTGTTTATAAGCAGACACCTCCAATAAATCAGCTCTCAGTCCAAACTCTCCTTAGAGAGGAAAGTCAGAAGCTCTGACTCCAGAGGAAAAAAGCCAGACACTCTCCTCACAGCTGGGTTAACCAAAGTTGGAACTCAAAAGCACATTGTTGAGAACAAGTCCCCAGTGTCAAGATCAGTAAACAATGTTTCTCATAGAAAGAAAAATCTCCATTGTGCCCCACAGCTTCAGGTCCAGGCAGGGCCCTTCTCCTGCCCTGCTGCCAACCCCTCTCCCTGGAGCTGTTCCTGGGGACTGAGAAAGATGACCTGGTGGTGAAAGCAAGTCACCGAAAGCTTTACCTGATGGATTCTTTCCTTCCTTCTTTGGAGTTAGTCCCTAGAAGGCTAGAGTAGCAATTACTGGGAATTTAGCAGCCTCTGTTCAAGTTCCTAGGAATTCTGACTTTAGTTGATGCCAATGCTGTATGATTTAAGGAAAAAAAAGAAAAGAAAAAGGAATTTAAAATATTCATGTAAACTTCACCTCTAATCTACATATCTAAATATTCACAGACAAGAATAAGAGAGAACATATTCTAATAAACACCAATTAAGACCACAACTTGGTACTGGCACTGCACCCCTGGAGAGAGCTGAAAGGGGACTGAAGATTCTCCAGGTCAACCTCCCCCCAGTGTAAGAATCGCCTTCTCAAGTTCCTACGTTCTGTCAGCTAATTTGCTAGATACTCTCAACTACTTCAGCAGGGAGTCTGTTCCACGGCTGCACAGCTCAGCCATTAGAGAGGTCTTCGGATGGTAAGCTGAAAACCTATCCCCCTGGACTTTCACCTCACAGACGCCTACTGTCCTACGGAGCTTCAAAGAAAGATCTTCTCCTTCCACATAACTGTTCACCAAACACTGGAAACCAAATGATGCCCACTCTCCACAAACTTCTTGGGGAATAACACCTTTCGTTCCTCTAATTATTCCATAGATTTCAGGCTCATTATCCCGCTTATCCTCTGTGGAATTTACGTACGCTCCTCAGAGCATACACACCGGTCTGTGTTCAATCCCACTTCAAAAGCGGATCAAATCAGGGATCTAACACAATTGGAAACGGGAGACAGACATAGCTGTACCACTCCCCGTAAAAGTCTCGGTTTACAGGGCGCCAGCGGGCTTATTCCCGGCAGCTGAGTTTGCACTCCCTCCCAGACCTTGTTCTAACTGCGCGGACGTCGTAGCTCTCCTCACGCTCTGATCCTCAGACCCAGCTAAGTAAAACTGACCTCCTCTCCTGAGGCGGGCGCGAGTAACCGTGTTAAGGTGAAATAAAAGCATCTCGGAGAACTAAGTTAGGGTCGCTGTCATCAGCTGTTTTAAAGAGGGACCCCTCCACAGCCATACTGGAACTTTTAAGTGATCGCGCTGGGCGCTGTTTAAGTCACAAAACCAGACCGGAGCCCCTTTCCTCCCCTCCTCGCAGGGCCCCGTTCGGGGGGCGCGGGGGTCCTCCGGGGGAGCGGAGTCAGGGACCGGCTGCGGGGGAGCGAGCGGCGCCTCCCGGCACCCTGCTCCGGGGGGGCCTGGGGACCCCGCGGGCCGCAGCAGCACGGCCACCACCCCCTTCCCCGGCGACCACAGCCTCCGTCTCACCGCGCGCCCCGGGGGCGGCCGGACTCACCCTGGGGGCAAGGACGGGAGACTGGGGAGGGCCGGACACAGAACAGGCCCTGCCGGACCCTGTCACAGACCCACACACCAGGGACAGAACAAAGAACGGAAGTTCTCTCCGTTTCGCTTCCGGGTCGGGCCTTTTCACCCCCCACCCCCCACCCCCGGGTCCCCCACGCCCACTTGTTCTCTCTAGGAAAATGGGAGGTCTTCGCCTCTCGATGGTTTGCTGACTCAGGGCCTCTGACCTGCGGCCAGGGCGCAGGGCCCCGAGCTGACGCGGCACTCGGGCCTGACGCTCCCGCTCGCCGCGCCCCCTGCTGGCCGGACCGGGCGGGACGCCGCGCACGCCGCCCTCAGGGCGCATGCTCGGGCGCTGCGGGCCCAAGACGGGGCGGTGGGCGCGTTGCGGGGCGTGGGCACGGTGGTCGTCCTGCCGGCGCTCGGCTCGGGGTCTTCTGCTGCTCGCCGAGGGCCGTGGAGAGCTCACGGCGCCTGAGCGATCGCGGAGGGCTCTTGAAGGATTCATCGATACAAAAAAAATTCACATTTATTTGAAATTGCTTCCAAATTAACCAAGTTTATGCGTCCAGAGTTTTTTGTTTCATGTAAAAATGCGCCCTTTAAATTACTAAAATCTGAAGAAAACGTTCCAGCCTTTCAGGGAGTTCACGTGAGGACAAAACCCGTACAAGTGATGAGAGCAGACAAGACCTGGGAAATCCCATTGGTGTGACTAATGTGTGAAACTCTTGAGGGCAGGGGCGGCGACTCTTCGCGGTTCACTCACGTGCACTCACTGTTATGTCCTCACACGAGAAATCCTGTAAGTGTCCGAATTAAATCCTTACAGATTATATACAAAAGGAAATCTTGTGATCCTGAGTAACCAAGGCCCTCCTGAGTCCCCTTATAGGCCCACCTGGCATTTGATCCCAATTTTTACCGCATCCAATATTTGTAGCGCATCCAGTCAGCTCTTCGAATGCAGCAGACCTTACCCTCTGGTGACTTCAGTCTAAGGACAGTATTTAAATAACCAGTTCCTGTACAATATGGTATGTGCTAGGAAAAGAGGACCAAGAGCAGGGCCCTGTGGGGAGGCAAGAAGACGCTCCAAAAGTGAAGCAGGCTGGATGAGGGGAAGGGGAGTGTTCTGCACAGAGGAAACAGTCAGTGCAAAGGCCCTGAGGCAAGACAGAACAATGCACAAGTAACTAAGAAAACTTGAGGGTGGCCTGAGAGGTGTGGGTGTGTGACCCATCTCCAGTTCTTCTAGACCTAAGTGAGAGTTTGAGCAAAACTTGGAATAGCCAAGCCACTCAATAAACTCAATCCTCCCCCCCAACAAAACTGGGCATTTTTCCTTTTCCTCTTCTCGATTCCTTATTCTTCCACTCCTCCCTTAAGGACAAGAACAGAGATGAAGAAGGAGGCAGTGGCAAGAAGAGGGAAGGAAGGAAGTAGAGTGAGGCTCCTCAAAGTGGGATTGTTTGTTTTGTAAAAGTTCTCTCAGTGACAATCTTCAGGGAACAGCTCTTAGCCTCCCAGCATCTTCAATACAATTTTATTACTCTGGGGCTAAGTCAATTTGCAGTTTACCATTCGTTTTTGCCCCAAAACCCAGCCACCTCGAAAGCCACCCAGTTAATGATTATTCTTCTGAGTCTGTGGTCTGCATAGTGCCATTGTAACCAAACTCAATGGGTTGGTCTCTTGGTGAGTTTGGAGCCAAAAAGCGCAACCAAAGCAGACGTAGGTCAAGAAAGGGGTTATTGCTTGTACAAGCAATGGTGAACACTGGGAATATCTCCCAAAGCAGTGTCTCACGGAGATCCGTGCTGGTGGAGACTTTATACACAGGAGAGCAGAGGATAGCAGGTTTATTTGTAACTACTGTGTAACAGCTGTGTTCATTTAGGGCGCATGTGTAGCAGGTAAACATGTTGGTACATGCATCGCATGATCTGAAAATGGCTGCTTAGACCCTCCTGGAGAAGGAGAATTTAAGATGCTAATGAGTTTAAGGTAGCTTGGGGCTGGAACATTTTGCAGGCATCTTGCTGTAGACGTGTACGTTTCTCCGCAACATAGCAACATCTGCAAAATCAATTTCTGCAAAACTGAACGCATAGTTTCTTCTTGTCTGAAAAACATTTGACAGACACACCATGAGTCACTTGGGATGCTCAAGGCAGTCCACCAAGGTGGGGAAGAAGACATTTATGCTTCCCTTATAGTTCTTACCCAAAAGAAAGATAAAAGGGTAGTAAACAAAAGTAGGCTTTGTAAAAAAGTCAGTAAGAAGAAGGGTAGTATAGTACCGTCCTGGGGGTCTCTTGTCAGACTGTAGCATTCTTCAGATAAACATATGAGAACCCAGATAGGAGAGGTGGGAATTGAGAACACTCAAATCTTCCCAGATGTGTGTGGAGACAGCAAGTTTTGAGAGAATCATATTTCTTATGATCCTTATTTTCTATCTGTACACCTTTAAAGCTGTTTCTCTGGAAAACATCCCCACGGCCAGGCTACCCTTTTTCACGGTTGCCTTCCCCACCTGACAGTAGATAGTCAGGCTTGTCACCCCCAAATCTTACAGCAGGGCCTTTGGGGTGTCACAACTTCTGGGGTACCAAACTAAAGGATTCATTTGAAATATTGCTGCCAGTACTAAGTGATCAGGGGGCCGGCCCTGCGGCGAAGTGGTTAAGTGCGCGTGCTCCGCTGCCGGCGGCCGGGGTTCGGATCCCAGGTGCGCACCCACACACCGCTTGTCAGGCCGTGCTGTGGCAGCGTCACATATAAAGTGGAGGAAGATGGGCACGGATGTTAGCTCAGGGCCAGTCTTCCTCAGCAAAAAGAGGAGAATTGGCATGGATGTTAGCTCAGGGCTGGTCTTCCTCACACACACACACACTAAAATAAATAAATTAAATAAATAAATAAATAAATAAATAAATAAATACTAAGTGATCAAATCCTTTGTGATTCAAGTGGTTGCCTGTTATTTCCCTCCAGTAAAATGAGAGGAGGACAAGAGCATCTGTTGATAGATCACCATGTGATTTGGGCAGATAAAATTGACATTGCTATAACTATATTCCTTTCACCACTCGTCTACCCATTTCTGTGAGGAGGATTGCTCCATATTTACATCTATAAACACAAAAGGAGGAATCGACTTAATACTTCATTCCGGTAATAACTAATGCCCATCTATTGAGAAAAACAGGACAGTCTCCTCTATCTCACTGAGATAAATCTAATAAAAATAACTTTTTATGTTTGTTAATTTAGTTCATTTTGTTATACATTTATATTTTGATAAATTGTGAAGTACTACTTATAATGATAACCCAATCCAGGAGAAAATTTTTAATACTTAAGGCTTTATGTTCATAGAAAACTAAAAATTGATTGAATTTCAATTTATATACAATTTTTTTGCAGCAAATTATACTGTCAACCAATTATCAATAAAGTACCAATTATGTTTCATCTATAGTCCCACTCATCCTCCTCCTGATTATTTTGAAGCAAATTCCAGACATAACATCATTTTATCTGTAAATATTTCGGTATAATTGCCTATATGATAAGGATTCTTTAAAAAAATAAGTGATGCCATTATCACATCTAAAAAATTTTAACAATAACAATTTAACATTATATATCAAGCCAGTGATCATATTTCCCTGATTGCCTTAAAATTTTATTAATTTTGTGTGTGTGTGTGAGGAAGATTAGCCCTGAGCTAACATCCATTGCCAATCCTCCTCTTTTTGCTGAGGAAGATTGGCCCTGGGCTAACATCTGTGCCCATCCTCCTCTACTTTGTATGTGGGATGCCACCCACCACAGCATGGCTTGATAAGCGATGCATGGATCCATGCCCGGGATCCAAACCTGCAAACACTGGGCCGCCGAAGTGGAGCATGTGAACTTAACTACTACGCCACCAGGCTGCCTCTTGAAATTTTATTAATTTTTAAATTAAAAAAATTTTTTTTTATAATTCTGTTTGAATTGGGAGCTGAATAAGATCAATATTGACATCAGATGATATGTATCTTAAGTGTCGTCTAATCTATAAATTCTCCCTTCATCTTATTTTTCCTCTTTGTGATTCATATATTTAAGAAAAAGGATGGGCCACCCCATGGCTTAGCGGTTAAGTGTGCGCGCTCCGCTGCTGGCGGCCCGGGTTCAGATCCCGGGCGTGCACTGACGCACCGCTCCTCCGGCCATGCTGAGGCTGCATCCCACATACAGCAACTAGAAGGATGTGCAACTATGACACACAACTATCTACTGGGGCTTTGGGGGAAAAAAAAAAGGAGGAGCATTGGCAATAGATGTTAGCTCAGAGCCAGTCTTCCTCAGCAAAAAGAGGAGGATTAGCACCGATGTTAGCTCAGAGCTGATCTTCCTCACCAAAAAAAAAAAAAACAAAAGAAAAAGGATGATTTATCCTGCAGAGTTTCCCGCTGTCTGGAGTCTCCTGTCTCCCTGCGTTGTCCTTTAGCACATTCCTTAGTCCCTTGTATTTCCTATAAATTGGTAGAGCCTATACCAGGGCCTAAAACAGTTTGATTAATTCAATTTCTTTTACACTTCTTTAGTTTTGTGAATTTTGAATAATAAAATTTTAATTTTAATTTTTTATTTCAGTCAACTTTTGCCATCTGTAATCAGAGGGATTACTATATATACAAGACTTTTTCTCAGCGCATATGAGTTGTAGACATAGGGTTTGTGCACACTGCTGTTTGTATGTTATTCCTCGGCAGACAATAATAAACAATGGTCGTCACCTATAAAGCCTCTCAAATCTGCACACATAAAATACAATTTTCTAACCTATTTAAAAATATTCCAATATTAGTAGCTGAAATTATTTTGTATATCTATCTACTTTTTCATTATCAGCTTTCCCCCTCCTCCAGCCCTTTTGAGAGGCCTTGAGAGCAGGGACATTGACTGTCTTAGTTACCACTGTGACCCTCTAGAATCTAGAACCCTGCCTGACACTCAGCAAGCCTGCAACAACACCTGTTCAACAGCTGACAAATGAGCAAGTGAATCTTTACCGAATTCTGTGTTTACCTCCATGCCC